TTTTTTTCCACAAATAGCTAGACATAATGATAGCTGAGTTTCTTAGCTTACAAAATATTATTCATGTAGCAACATTGAGGTTCGAAAAATTGATGTAAAAACGAGGTTTATGTGCTTATGTGAGTTAGGCGATTGAATGAGGAACAAGACAGTATCATAGTATTTATCTATTGTATTTGTAGATAAATTTTCGCATTTTTCTTCCTCTTCCATTTATTAACTCTTCATTTTTCCTACAAAGCTCAAATAGGGCTATACCTGGCTGATTACGGTAATCATTGCTCGGTTGGCTGCTTTGGCAATACGAGATTCCACTAGATAGACCATGTACTCATCAGTGAGTAATCGTATGAGATGGAATGAACCGAATGATCCAGCAGATCGAAGCGTCAAATCACGGATTAACATCGACCTGAAAATCCAAAAAAATTTGTGTAAATTTCGCCAACTCTGAAAATTTGGAAATCATTCCCAGTCTTTTAATGACGTCTCATATTGTAGATAAATTTTGGTGAGATTACGTTCTCAGATGCTTACAAAGATCTGCAATGACTTCAAAAAATTGCAAATACTCTACAGAGTCGTACATGTTCGAAGGAAAAATCTACATTTCATTTCTTTTTCAAGTAGATAGTTTTCAAAACAAGTGTTTTGTTTTCAAAACATTTAAACAGCAAATCTTGAAAACCGCTCCAAGTTATTTACTCACGTGTAACAGCTCCAGTTCAGCAAAAATTGCTTTCCAACTTCTGAAATTATTTGCACCGGCTTGTCGTGGTATTTCGCCAAAATCTAAGACATTCCACTATTCAATATTCCATCTTAGGAATGTTTCAATTCTTCTAACCTGATCTACAATGCTTTCAAGCCATTCGGCCCACTCCTCCATTGGGGCCATTTTCTGAAGGTTTTCTTTGAACGCATTATGGATGTGGTGGACCATGAGCGAGTCACATCCGCTTACCCATCCGGCCTGCTCTTGCACCTGTTGCATGTCCACTCTGAAATATGTTACGGTT